AGTTTATAACATGTTATCTGCGATCAAAGGTACCTGAGCTCTTTCTTCCTGTTGTTTTTTAATTTTCTCCTCTCTTTTCTTTCTCCCTGAATCTTGCCCGAGTATTTTCCTGATAGCTTCAGCCTGGTGAAGAAGACGAAGAAGACCTTAGATCATCTGCATTCTGCTTGTGTTGGCATTATAAATTAACCGGAAAAAATGTATTAACTTTACCTCGGCTTCTTGGGCAGCCTTCTCAGACTGAATTCGCCGTCTCTGTGCAGCTTCCTCCTTTTTGGATTGTTGCTCTACCTCAGAAAGCTTCTGTTTTTGTCCTGGAATTGATGAAAGTTTGCAGAATCAGCATTTGCAAGTATCATTTTATTGTGCTAAAGGGAAAAAAAAAGTGCAACTCACTTTTGGAAGAGATGCAAGGTAAGCCATCAGGAAATTCAAGAGGACCCGACCCAATGACAGAATACTGATCTTTTCCAGATTGCAAGGCCCGAGTTCGTGTAGTAGGAATCTGGCCACTTGTTGAATCAACCATTCCCATCCTCATCTTTTTCTTTTCAGGTACACCATGTTTGTCTGATGAGAGAAGTTCTTTGTCTTCCGAGATGTGTCCTTCACTTTCTTTACCTTCATGATAGTCCCTGGTGACCCTTTTAGACTTTAACTTTTCGAGGTATCTGATTTCCTCATCTCCATCATCATCACTGTCTAGTTCTGCATCCAGTACACGTTTCTTAAGACCTCGTTTGCTCTTTTCGCACAAGGATGCTCCATTCAAAGTCTCAGAGGGATATACTCTAGATTGATGGATCTCTCCTAGATACATAGTTTTCTGAACATGTCTCTGCTCTGGTACATTGCCTTTTACCTTCTTTTGAAACGGCTTCCGTCCGTCATCCTGCATTAATCTCAAAACATTATATAAGAAACAAGTTCACAATTACTAATGCATGATAATGGACAAAATCAAAGCTTTTAAAACAAACAGAGTTTTACCGTAGCTTTAGTATATATACCCGCCTCTGAGTTGGTTTGGAATGTACGAGTAACACCACCACCAAGCTTAAGCTTCAGTTTCAGTTTGTTCTCACTTGTAGATCCACAATTGCTATCACCGTTCCTAATACTCGGGTTAGCTTCATTGGTAGGAGCAATGTTTACATGTGTTGAGGAAGGCATAAAAGTGAAACTCTGCAAGCTCGCTTTTATATCTCGGGGTCGACGAAGCTTAGAGCTTCTCCTTCTCCTATCCGTAAAACCAGCTAAAGTAGAAGGAGAGCCTTCAGAATCCTCCATTATCATCAAATTTCAAGACAAACGTCACTGCAGCAAAAATACCTGAACACAATGAGCAGAGTAAATACTTAATACACAGTAATTGAACTATAACAGCTGCAAGTAAAGGCTATGAAACTTAATGAAGACATGTTTCCAATGTTTACGCAAGAGCAATATTCAAACAAAACTAAGCTGCTTTCTCCATAGACTAAAGATGAATTGAAATTGAAACTACATGCTTTCGTAGCAACACTAGACTACATTGCATTCTCAAATTGATACAAAACCAATGCAACCGCGAAACCCAGAGGAGTCATAAACCACTTAACATCTTCTCTACAGCAGAAAATTGAGAAACCAGAGCATGAAACCCACCTTCTTCTCGATGAAAGCTTTAATTCGTTAAGAAATCCCCAGAATTCAAGCGAGAATCTCAAATTAAAAACCAATTCTCGAGGGAGGGAGAGAGAAAGTGAGCGAAATTACGCGTGAAGACGAAGGAGGAGAGAAAAACCCTAGATGGAGTTTTGAGGAAGAAGAAGAGTCTCGAAAGAGAAGAAGTATGTGGATTGGCTTTAAGTGAAGGGTAAATGTGGAAGAGATGTTTGTTCCTTTTAGCCCCCAAA